GATCTATAATGCATTATCCCTCTTTTCCATTTCTACCTTTCCCCAAAACCTTTTTTTTTTTTTTTACATACTATTGCTTCTAATTCCAGTTACACCCCATCGCCAAAGGATTATCATGTCGTTCTCCTGGCTTTTGATGGTCGATTCTGCCTTCTGTAGAATGTTCAAGCTTCTTAATGTGGCCTTCAGTGCAGTTAACATTTGCCTCCTCCTCCATCTAAATTTCTCTATACCCATCCTATACCCAAGACACACTTATCTTCTTGAATTTCCCTGAACGTGTCGGTACATCACTGCATGTGCTGTTCCGGTTTGTTCAAATGTCCTCCTCCCCCACCTCACATCTTCCTCAATCCCTGGAAAATGTGAATTTATTCCCCTGCACTCCAGGGCAAGCAAACCCCATGTTAGCTTCCTTCACAGCAAAATATCTTCCAAAAAATGAGGATTCACGTTCAAACATGTAAGAATAGTTATGAAGACAATGAAATGTGAGATTTAACCAAAGATCACATGAGAAACATCACCTTCCATAATGTCATCAAGGTAATTGTATGAGAGAGTACAGCAGATATATTTTCCTTTAACTGGCCCAGGAGGAAGTATTGTCATTCCACTGATGTGTGGCTGTCTCTGAATTTTCTACGCCTGTGTTTTATAATCTAGGTACTTAGAAAGCATGTATGGGCTAGCCAAAGGCACTGTACAAATCAAAGCATGACCCGTCCATTTCTGTTCTGTCATCTGGAGATTGCAAAAGGTGTGCTTTTCATGTTTCCTATCATTAGCATAGCATAACACCAAATTCAGTTGCATAATGTCAATTCCTAAAGGTGAACAAGGGAGTTGAGATGTTCAAAGATGTGAGTGTATGGACAGCTGAAACACAGGTGGATTGTCATTTATGCTATCCTTCGGCACCTATTTAATGAGGATCTACAAAGTTCCATGTTACCTCGAATAGACATAAGACCGAGTGTCAAGCATAATAAAACTCATTATCTTGCTGGAGAGACAGAACTTACTGTATGGAATATAAACAATAATGAAAAAAGAGCAATAAACAAAACACTTCCTTCCATGGGAAAAGATATTCAAATAAGCAGTTTACGATAGCTTGTGAACAATGGAGTCGGAAGTTGGGTTAAACTTTCTGACTTTCAAGTTCAGGTAAATATATCTGTTATGCCCATTTCACTGGGCTTTGGACAGAATCAAATGAAAGTGCTTTTAAGACTACAAAAGAATACACAGATGCATGATGCAAGATAATATCCAGAGAGAAACAACATGTTAGTAGATCAGGTACTCAGAAGTTTCTACATGCATTCTCTTCATTCACTTTCAAGTTAGGTTCTTCTCAGACGGTACTTATTAATCATTCAATTAAATATGAATATTTTTAGCCAATGATTTATTGAACAACTATTATATGCCAGTCACTGTGTCCAATGCTGGGCATTCAATTATGGACATGTCACATAAAGATCCTGTGTCATGCAGAAACTGTCAGGCACATAGTGGTTGCTCAATAAATGTTAGTTTTACATTTCTTCCATATCTGGTGGGTATAAACAAAGAGGTTATTGAGAATGAAGAAGAGATTTGTGTGATAGAAAAAATTGGCCAGAGAGTGGACAAAAAATTTTTTCATTGCTGTGACAAATTCTTGTACTCCAAAATATACCAGAAATGATAAAACAATTTTCTACTGAATGAATTCCCGAGCTTCAGTAGCCAAAAGGCAAAGGCTAGGAGTTGACAATTCACTCCAGGGATAAGACAAGTAACAGAAATAAAAGAAATAAAATAAACCTTGACAATTATTTAGCCTTGTTAATAAGCAAAAATGTGAATATATGCATATATATGCATATATGCAAATATATGTGTCTATATATTTGTGTGTTACATATACATACGAATTAAATGAAAAAATAATAGCAAATAAATTAGCAGATGGAAATAACTCAATATCTGAAAAGATGTGGCGAAACAGATATATTTTAATAGTGCTGACACATTTAGAGCATAACTTTTCCAGAGAGAAATTTTAAAATGTATTACTATATTGAAATGGCTACCACATGACTTGATAATATAATTGTCTTCTATTGCCTCACAACAATATTTCTACACATTTAACAACTTAAAAAAAAAACACATAATGCATCACAGTTTCTGTGGGTTAGGTGTCTGGATGTGACTTAGCTAGATTGTCTCTAAAGTCCCACAAATCTGCAATTAAAGTGTCAGCCTGACTGGGATCTATTTGAAGCTAATTCACTTCCAACCTCACTTGAGTTGTTGGCACATTTTTTTTTTTTTTTGGCTGTGATGCTAAGGGCATCAATTCCTTGCTGGCTATTGACCAGAGGCTTCTCGCACCTGCTAGAGGCTGCCCAATGTTCCTGGCCACTTGGAGCTCCCCAAAGCAGTAGATTGCTTACTCAAAGTTAGCAAGGTCTTGAGACTAGTGAGATGGGCCTTACAGTCTTATGTAATATAATCATGCACATATAATCACATACATTGTCACCTTTGCCATATTCTATTGTTTAAAAGCAAGAAACAGGCCACCATCACACTTAAAGGGAAGGAATTACACAAGGCTATGAATAACAGAAGGTGAGAACGGGGGACCACCTCAAGATTCTGTGTGCTACAACCATATCGAGGAGTACATCCCAAGGAAGTAATCTAACAACAGCAAAAAAACAGTTTAGACAATATTGTTTACTGGTGTACTGTACGTTATTTCTGATCATTTGGAGCAGTTTCAATTCACGAATAAGTGAGGGCAAGAACAGGAGAGGATATGAATGGCTGCACTCTAGTAAATTAATCTAATTATATATTATTTACATTAGACATGAAAAGTAAGAGGTTTACACACATATAATTGGGAAAATAACTAAAAGAGGCAACAAGAAAGGGGAAATGAAGCTGGAGTAACAAATATGTGATCATAGCAACTAGACAAAAATTTACCTGCATAAATATTTAGAATAGGAGAGACTAGAATATTTGTGATTCATGTATGGTCATATTTGTAAAAGCATCTATTCTCTACTATTCTTTCAAAAATCAAAAAAGAAAAAGTTATTTACAAGAACATGAGATTATTAAAATATAGAAACAAAAAAATTAAAGAAAATATTTTTAAGAGCTCTATGGTATGGTTTTTTTTTTAAATGCTCTCAAAATTGATAAATTCTAATTTGGAATAAAAGAGAAAACAAAAATACATATTATTAAGAATGAGAAAGAAGGCATAATAATTTATTCAAAAAAGTTTAAAATATTCAAATACAAATACTGTGTGCAAAACTTGGGCAATTAATGGTCATATTTGATGGAAAAAAAAGATAATTACCTAGCAAAGTAGAAATTATTAAAATTGATCTCAGAGAAAGTAGAGAAGTTAAACAAATACTAGAGAAAAGATAGTAGAATGAATTAAATATTTTATCATTTAAAAGGTTCATTAATAGATGACTTTTATATAATCTTTAACTAACATGTCATCAAGTGTTATTAAAAATTTTACAGATTATAAAAGATTGAAAGCCCCTCATTCCACTTTTATTATTTATTTATTTATTTATTTATTTATTTATTTATTTATCTATTTATTTATTTATTCATTCATTTATTTATTTTTTAAGCCTACTGCACCTGGTCTTCCTAGGTGGTCTTCCATCCAAGTACCACCCAGGCCTGACCTTGCTTAGCTTCCGAGATTAGATGGGATCGGGCACGTTCAGGGTGGCAACTTCATTCTACCTTTAGAAGCTACTGAAATCTTAATATCTAAATTTGTCAAGATTAAAAAAAAGACTTCGAAAACTTCACACCAATCACATCTTGAATCATAATGTATAATTTCTAAATTAAAAATTAGAAATTGGAAAGTTTGTGTACCTTCTGCTCAATTTTGCTGTGAATCTCAAACTTTTCTAAAAATGAAGTCTATTAAAAGGCTAAAAATATTAGAAATTGAATTCTATATTGCAAAATAATAATAATAGAGCATAATAAAATCAAGTTAAATCATTCAAAAACTGCAAAAAAAACCTGCAACAATATCCTGTACGTAATATGTAATATGTCAAATCAATATATTGAAAAGAAACCAATTATTATAGCAAAATATTTTTTAAAGGCATTTGATATAATCAGACATTTTTAGTTAAAAATTCTAAAGAAAACAGGAGCAAAACACAAACAAATAGAAAAGAGCATACTAAATTATTAGATATAATATAATTTCCATTAAAATTTGGAACAAGACATTATAAGTATATATTGCTATGGAGACACTAGTTGATATAGTAAGTCAAAACTAAAATTATGTTAAGTTGACATGACCACTCAACAAGAAAATTACCTCTCTTTACAAATGAAATGTTTACATACCCAGTATTGTCAAAAGAATCTAGTTTAAATAAAATAACACACATGCACACAAACACTCACATTCATGCACACAAGATGAATCATTAAAATTAGAAAATGATAAATACTCCAAGTAGACTAGTGTTCTTACTTTCAACCAGTTGGAATAAAAAATAAAGAAAAATCTTAACTATAAAATTGATGTTAATGACATAATACAAAAATTTACAAAAATTGTATGACTCTCAGATGAAGAAATTAACAAATACTGAGATACATAATCTAAAACCTAAACAAATAGAATAGCAACCATGTATTTCAATAGGAAAATAATAATCTACAAAAATGTAAGTTCTCCCAAGAGTATACTATTAATACAATTAGAATATAAACTTATTATTTTAAAACTGGATATGACGATATTAAAGTTCATATGAGAGGATAAATTTCTAATTATGGAAAAAAAATGAAAAGCAATAGTAAAGGGAAATTTGCCTTAGTAGATATCAAAACATGATAAAGCCATTAAAATAAAAATGGTTGACAACTAAATAGGTATAGACAAGTTTATAACAATAACTATTCAAAACAGATCCACTTACCTGAAAGTATGATTGAATATATAATAAGTCATAGCACAATAAGGTAGAAAAATGGAGGTGTGTTTCATAGCCAGCATAAATGGTTAGTTATCTGGAAGAAGACAAAACACACACCAAATAAAAAAAAAATTAATTCCTTAGAGAATAAAGTATAATTATTTAACATAAATATAATTATAAATTATATAAATGCTTATAAATAGAAAGCCAGTGATAAAAGTGATATGCATATGTAATTTATAACTGTAATATATTTAAAATAATTTTAAAATAAAACAACATATTAGAAAAAAATGAGGAGCTCTCATGTTGCTTCTTTGGGAAAGTAGACTCATCAAAGTGAGAGGAAACCCAGATGTCAAAAAAAATGGACGTAAAAAGAATTGCAAGAACACAGTCATAAAGCAAACTAAAGTATTTGCAACTCATATGGTAGGCAAGTGGTTACTACCTCAAATATATATAAAACTCTTCCACAATGATAAGAAAAAAAATGAAAAATAAGAAAATTACATGAATTAGCATTTCACAGAATAAGAAATCCAAATGATCAATAAATACAAAGACAGTAGGCCTCACTGGCAATTAGAAATTGAACACATGCTGAAAAACCATATTTTACCTATCAAATTATTGTTCTTGAAAAAGTGAAGTAAAATAAAGCCTAGTGCTAATGACAAAACGTGGAGAAATGATCATCCAATTGATTGCTGGTAAGAATGTGAGTTGCTACTACATTTTGGAAAGCAATGTGGCAATATCTTTAAAAACAGAAGTTCCGTAGCCTTCACATTTTTCACTTTTGTTTTTCAGAATTATAAAATGTAAGCTCAGGTATTCAAAGCAATATGTACAAAGATATCTATTGTATTCTTTTCGGAGGGGAGGGCTGGCAAAAAAGCAAACAAGAATAAAGAAAAGAAACTACACTGAAAACAACCCAAATGTTGGTTAATTGAAGGAGTTTAGTGCATGAAATATCATGTAGTATTTAAAAACAATGAGTTAGGTTTGTATTTATTGACCTAAAGAGAGAGATCCATGTTGTATTATTGAGTAAAGCAAGATGAAAAGAAACGTATACATAAAAAAGTGCAGAACCCTTTTATGTGTGCATCTGAGCTACCACAAGCGAGGAGTTAGATCTGGTACCAGACCAACCAGGTGTAAGCATTGGTTACTATAGGGTAGGCCACGTGGGGTGGGAGGTTGAATTGCCTCAATAATTGTAAGAAACTCATTTTTTAAAAAAATTTTCAGAAAAGAATAATTTAGAAGGAAAGTATATATTGAGTTTAGAAGAGGCTATAGGGTTTGCAGATTTGAAAAGTGTGGGACTTATAGCCATGATGAACTGTTGCTATCATTGGTAATCTATTGCTGCTTAGTTCTTAGAATTATATTTTAAAATTAATATAAAAATAAAATGAAATTAACTGAAGATGAGACGGGATGTAAAGGGAGATATTCGAGATAACTGCCTATCCCTGAAATGCTGGTATTCCTCAGCCTTCTGTCCTAAATCTTTTTCTCTTGCCTGGTGATTCATGTAATTGCATTGTTTTAGAGATACCTTGTTACTTTCTGATTCTCCTACAGGACTTAAGGGCCTTATGTGGCCAGAGATGCTGACTTTATTATTTACCCTTCTCTCCCTCAATATAATTAGTAGCTAAAACTAGCAGGGATTCAAAAGATACTTGTTGAACTGTGGAAGGAAAGGAAAACAGTGAGGAAGGGTGGAAAGATACAAAATACCTAGCACAGGGCACAGCACACAATTGATCTTTACAGAACGTCATCACCCCAGATCTCTTTTTTTCCCTCACTCCAAAGCCCTGCCCCCATTCCTTTAGCCCTATGCACTGCTCACTCTCCTGATTCAGATACCATATCCCAGCAACAAAAAACGGTATCCAGTGACTCATCAATTCCTCACCTCCCATGCTTAGCTTCCCTGGCTGCATTTCAGCCCCTGGTGGGAGATCTGAAGCCTTTGGCTCTGCTTGCAGAGTGGCCAAAGAGCACATCTGGATTGAGCATTTCATTTTCAATTCAAACCTGGTTGTATTAACGCTCTGTCATACTTAATATATACTGGGCAACATGTAGCCTGCTAGATTTGGACTCACTGGAAAAAGACAAAGCATGACATTGTCGAGGCCATACCAGCAGGGGGTATCATTCTTTGTAAAGCTATATAATATGTTCCAAATAGATTGCAGCTGTTGATAGGTTTTATTGCATTTGCAGTTAGGGACCTTATTATATTTGTAGAAAAGATTTATTATATTTACTTTTATTACTTTAGCAGCTTGGGATATTTTCATATTTGTCATGAACTTACTCCATTTATGCTCATTGAGTTTATATCTAGAGTTTGCTACATGAGCAGCTATGAATAAGTTCACCTGTTGTCATTATACTTAGTCAATTTTCATTACCACTGCACTAATATTTCTCAGCATTTGCAGGTGCTGCATATTACATTAGTGGTTTGAATATTTTAAAGTCAGCAGTAATGGGGCAGTGCAATCAGCTGAAGAAAGGGCACAACCTATCAGATGCTCAAACTCTTGGCAGATGGCGAGAAATATGCAGAAGTTGGCTGTGATAACGAGGCTCATTTTAGAGAATACGTGTCCAAAGGACTTAAACCGTAGTTTAGCATTCAGGCTCACAAACTCCAAATTGTCTTTATCTCTTACTGCTTCAAATTTTCAACATTCTTCCACTGATTAACTAAATGACGATAAGATACAAAGATTGAATTTATGACAAACTTATGTTTTCCAAGTGATTCTTTACCTAAATTATCTCTAGCTTAAGAGGCTAGGACATAGTCATATAAAACAAAGATAGGTGAATATAGGCAGAGTTCATAGCCTCGTTCTTAGATTAAGGGCAGAATTTGACAGTTTAGGCACCACTCTAGGCTTTCACCATTTCTAGTCACTTCCGTCTATGAATAAATGGAGCAGTTGCTGCAAACCCTGTTGGAAGTTATATGACTCATCATTACTGTTAATGGAACAAGTAAGAGAGGCAATTTGGGCAAGGGGAAACCTGGGATAATACAGTGCATGATGGTAGCAGCGACTGCAGAAGGAAAATCATCATCGTCGTAGCAGCTTAAGTTTATTGAGTATTTACCACTTGTTAGCCACTGCTGTTAAGCACCTTACTTGTATTAAATGAATCAATCCTTGTAACAACCCTATGAGATGTTATATAATTAGCTCTATGTTACTGACAAGAAACTGAGTCACAGATAAGCTAAGCAACTTGCCTAAGGTCACAGAAATAGGATAGCTAGAAAGAACCATGTTTGAACCCAAGTAATCTGACTACAAAGTCTAAAGACTTAGTCCTCGAACCATGAGATTAATTCCTAGCTCCCCAGCTAGATGAAAGAAAATGGCCTCCTATTTCTTAGAAAACTAAGATTTATATTTAGTTTTTATTCATGTTATGAATTATGCTACATTCAGTGGATTTTCTCTAGACCTACTAAGACTCCTATTTAACCAATATTTAAATAAATATACTTTCTTCTAATTATATAAGAATCCTTTAGTTTATAGGAATATATAGTTTTCTCTCCCAAACTATTTTGTAATAATCTGGACATCAATTTAAAGCATCCTTGTAACCCCTCTGGCCCCAATCTATATTAAAATGATATATGCTATAATGAACTGTAACAGTTAGGAGCACAGTACAATCATTCTTGAATCAACCTTCAAGCCAGAAGAGTGAAAGATTCCTAGACTAAAAGTGAGAAAATCTAGATCTGCTTTCTGCTCTACAACTCGCTGACTGTGTGACACAGAGAAAGCCTCAGGCTTACAGAACATCAATTTCTTCACCTATAAAATTAGGTAAGACAAATGTTTGCTCTGTCTCCCTCTTAAGTTGTTATGAGGTTTACCAGACTTAGCAAACAGAAATAGAAGAAACTCAGTTAAATTTGGATTTCAGACTGAAAAAAATACATTTTAATATAATTATGTCCTAATCAATATTTGGGACGTACTTAAAACATGTTCACTGTTTATTGGAAATTCAAATTTAACTAGGCTTTGTGTATTTTATTGGGCAAGTCTACAAGAGGATTGAATGAGGTAATGCATGAAGAAGACATAGTTAAACATTTTGACATTCCAACACATGAGACTGAGATGGTAAATATGGCTAATGCTTCCAATCAGGAAAAAATGCTTGGGTAGGGGACTCTATTTGTGGATACTTTATAAGCGAACTGACCATCAGGCAGAGATGCTCAAAGTCAAGGAGAGAGCAAAGATCCCTTATGGGAAGAGTCTTTTGGCATTGCCCATGGACCAAGGCCGGGCTGGCTACCCCAGGAATCACCACAAGGGAAGTGGTTACAGACACAGCTTCCTAGAGCCCAGCCCAAAACTGATGTGTAGCTCTCTAAGTTGGCCCAAGATCCTGTATGTTCAGAAAAGTTTCTAGATGATTCTGAGGAACAGCCAGGTTTGACAACTTTTAAAGAGGTTTTCAAGGATAACAGATGTTTTTCTCCAAGCGCTAATAACCACTGACAGTGGCAATGATTAGAATAGCCTGGTCCCCAGGGTGGGCCCTAACCTCAGCACCTACATTAGACATTTGAAGAACACTGGCTGACCACAGAGCCAGCCCACGTGTCTTCTCTGCCTGCCACCCAGAGCAAAAATCCTTCAAAAAGGCCCAATATTTGTTTCTACAATGTATCAAATGGACCAGATGCACTAAAAAGGGTTCTTACCATTGAAAACAATGGAATTCTAATTCTAAATAACAAATTTAAAACAGTAAGATGTTCTCCTATGATGCAGTGTTACAAAGTGGTTTGAACTGCGCGCGCTCGCTCTCTCTCTCTTTCTCTTTCTCTCTCTCTCTTTCTCTCTCTCTCTCACTTTCAGCCTGGTAGCTATGCCTATCTTTGAACCAAAAACATGGTGATTGATTATGTATTCCTGAGTCACATGCTCTACCATGCCTACAGGATGGGTCTATCCTACCCACAGACTAAGACAGGAGGGGGAGATTTTAAATGCCAGAGATGAGTTTTAGCACTAAAAG